ATCTAAAGCCAGGAGCCAGGTCTTCTAGGTCTCCCATGTGGATGTAGGGTCCCAAGACTTTGGGCCATCCTTGAATGCTTTCCCAGGCCACAAGCAGGGAGCTGGATGGGAAGTGGGGCCACTGGGATATGAACCAGCACCCATAAAGGATCCTGGCACGTTCAAGGTGAGGAATTTAGTCACTAGGCCACTGTGCCAGGCCCTCAACTTTTAATTTTTTCAAGAATCACATTTTATTTACCTTTACCTGCAAGATTCCTGGGCACATAGTTGGTGATTAATAAATGTTTAATGTTCTCACAGAATAAATATTCCTCTCAATCTTATATTTTATCAGTGAGTCTTCATGCAAACTATAAAATCCCAGATGATTCTAGTCTAGGGTTCAGTTTACTTTGCAATCTGGAAAAAAAATTATATATTTTTAAAGATTCATCTAAACGGCAGAGAGAAATGAATGTGTGTGGGTGTGTTCCTCCCATAGGTTCACTTTTTAAATGTCTGCAACAGTCAGGGATAGGTCAGACTAAAGCTGAGAGCCATGAATATCCTCAGGTCTCTCACATTTGTGGGTGGGACAAACTTAACTGTTTCTATTATCATCTGCTGCTTCCCACACATATTAGCAGGGAGCAAGATCAGAAGTGGAGTTTCCAGGAAACCAAACTTTCATTCTCATACATGCCGATGAGAGTATGGACCGACAGCACAACATCCTCCTTTGTTGAAAAAGCTACCCCCCCCAGGTTGTTTTTCATACTCCTGGACTGGATAAGGTACCATTTTGATTTACCACGAAAAAGTCAAACACTCTGGCTTGGGGAAGTGGGGACCAACTTGCTTCTCAAGAGTTAATATTGAAAACGTGAGTACATTTCCTCAGATGACCATTTTGTGGTCCTATCCTGGCTCTTCCTTCTCCAGTACACTGACTTTAGAGATTGGTGAAAAGGCAGAAGCTTAATTGGCAATGGTCCACGAATCTGCTTCCACTTTTGAAACCCCATTATTTTGCATTTGGTTTTGATGTTTAAAAAGCCACTTGACATTTCTGATTTTTGTGAGAACATTCTATCCTGCGTAGTAACTTTTTTGAAATTAAGTGATTAAAGAGCTCATAATTTTAAGATCAAAATCTGCCAAGCAGCAAAGGCTTGCTAATTATATTAGCCCATTCCTCCCAGTCCCCCCTACAGGAGGCCTCCATGGAGCGGATGCAGTGTACCCCAACCCTTGGAGTTTGACCATCTCTAGAGGCAGGGCAAGAGGCAGTTGGCCACATTTCCCAGCTTAGCCTGGCACAAGAAGATGGCTTATTCTCAGCTGGGCACCTCTTACATAGGGAGATAAAAAGAATAACACGTCCTCTCTACAATTCCTTACACAAGGGTTACATTAGAGGCTGAGAAGTGTAATTAAGTCCATAGGCAAGCTTTATTCTATGTTAGCTGTGTTACTGGTCAGCACCTTTACAGTTTGAATTATTTTATTGGAATGTAGCATACAACAAGCTTAAACAAGAGAATCAATGGTGGGCATTGTGCAACCAGGCAAGCTGACACTTGAGACTCTGGTACCCCATTCAGGAGTGAAATTCTGGCAAATCCATTTCCGATCTAGCTTCTTGTTACTGTGCCTGGGAAAAGTGGCAGATGTCCAAGTACTCAGACTGTTCCCCTCTCATGAGAATGGCTGAAATTCTGAGCTCCTGGCTTTGGCGTGATCCAATACTGGTCATTGTGGCTACTTGGGGGAATAAACCAGTGAATGGAAGATATCATGTCTCTCCCTTTTCCTGTCACTCTTTCAAATATATCTTAAAATGAATAATTATTCAAGAAAATGAGGTCACTGACACTATTACGACACAAAAGATCAGCTTGCCCAATCAGCTTCTGTTTCTGATCAACATTGTCATCAATCCAGAAAGAACTAAACAAAGGGGAACAACTTATGTAAGTTCTCTTCCTGAGTGAGAATTTGGCAGACTGGTTAAGATGCCATTTAGGACGCCTGCATCCCAAATCAGAATGCTTGTCTCCTTTCAATCCAATTGTGGGCTAATGGCTAACGCGTGTCCCAGGAAACAGCAGGTGATAACTCAAGCATTTGGGTCCCTGTCACCTATGTAGGAGACCTGGAGGAAGCTCTAGTCTCTTGGCTTCAGTCTGTTCTAGCAGAATGAACTTGCAGACAGATACTCTTGGTAACTCTGCATTTAAAAAAAAGAAAAAGTTCTCTTTCAATTCCAGTACTTTGCATTGGTAATAGGGCTGAAACACTGGACATTTGGCCAGACTTACTGAGAAACAAAAATACAGGTTGGGCAGCTGAGCTAAAATCATGACTAAACACTTGCCAGATCCATTTACGTACCTACTCTCAGCATTACTCCTCCCTCAAATCATTTCACAAATGAAAAGCCAGATAAATCAAACCCAAATTTAAAGCGTAGGAATCAAAAAACTAAAACCACTCTGCTGGGGTAACTACCGAAGGCTTGCAAGTGTGAGCTACACATACATTTGCTCTCTGCTCTTTTATTTCCCAGCGACTAGATCTGCTCTTGGTAAGCTATGTAAGAGCAGAGAGAGTAAGACTTCCTAGGAAACTGCTTAAAAGCAGCAAATTGGAGCAATCATTTTATCAGTGGTATCCTCACCAAACCACAGTTTACAACCAACCACATCAACCACACTCTTATCTGCCTGGACGCACTCTTTGTAGTTTCTTCCATAAATTACCAAAAGTTAAAGCCTTATGTTTGGGAAAGTATATGAAATCCACAACTATGCTGCCCAATAATGCCAGTATGCCTTCCCTTTCTCTGATAATCATTTTTTCCCTACTTGGGATGTTAACTTGATGGGCAAGTTAGGGTAATTATGGTAAAATGTCTTTTAAAAACACCATGTTGGGCCCGGCACCGTGGCCAAGCAGTTAAAGACCACACCTTGAATGTGCCGGTTCTAATCCCGGCAGCTCCACTTCCCATTCAGCTCCCTGCCAGTGGCCTGGGAAAGCAGTTGAGGACAGCCCAGAGCCTTGGGACCCTGCACCTGTGTGGGAGATCTGGAAGAAGTTCCTGGATCCTGGCTTCGGATTGGCTCAGCTCCAGCCATTGCATTCACTTGGGGAGTGAATCATCGGACGGAAGATCTTCCTGTCTCTCCTCCTCTCTGTATATCTGACTTTGTAATGAAAATAAAATAAATCTTAAAAAAACCCCACCATGTTTAAATAAACTTTAAGCAGGCTTCTTAAAGCAGGATTTCTTTCAGATCCTTTAACATTAAAAATGCACATTACAAGTTTAATAATGGGTAGAGCATGTGCAAAGCATTATTTGCTCTTATGGGATGAAGGTTTCATGTAACACCTTGAGAAAGGCTGGTTTAGGTATACATTAGCCTTGAAAAAGCCAGCTTCATACTTGACCTCAAAACAATGGATGAAAAAAAGGGTCTATTTAGAAAATACTTTGCTGAATATAATCAAGTCTGGCCCAGCATGATAGCTCAATGACTAAATTCTCATCTCACATGGGCTAGGATCCCATATGGGCACCGGTTTGGACCCTGGCTGCTTCACTTCTTATCCAGCTCCCTTCTTATGGCCTGTGAGAGCAGTGGTGATGGGCCAAAGATTTCGGACCCTGCACCTGGGTGGGAGACTGGGAAAGAGGCTCCTGGCTTCAGTTCCAGCTATTGTGGCTGTTTGGGGAGTGTGCCAGCGGATAGAAGAACTTTCTCTCTGTAAATCTGCCTTTCCAGTAAAAATAATATTAAATTAAAAAAGAATACAACTAAATCATGCCTCAGACATCTAAAATTGCTGCGTAATTGTGTCTTTGGCAAACAGACCTCTAATAAAATAATGTTCCATTTTTCAGATTAAAATAAAATATAGAACTTAAAAATGTTACTCTTAAGATTATGGTACATAAATCAACAGTTGACTTGAAAATAAGGAGTAATTTGTAAAATGAGCTGTCTATCTTAAAAGTATGGATAAAGACTAGTGAAATTCAGTTAATTAGATCTGAATCTTATTATTTAGTATATGAGATACTGAAACTAAGTAATTTGGCAAAGAGTATTTCCCTCACAAAGTACTGACGATAGTGCCAACCTAACAGTGGTTTTGAGAAGCAGATACAAGGGACCATGCATACAGAAGGTAACAGTTTCTCAACAATGATAATGCTTGTTATTATTTCTATTACTAAACAAACCACTCAGACGCCATGCAGTCCAAGATCTATTGCTGGCATCAGACACATGGTCAATAGAATAGGGTTTTGAGATAGCTGCACAGGGAGAAAAATCACATTTATCCATAGGCAATTATCATCATAATACATGTAGTATCCATTAACTTTAAGGGAAAAAAATGGAAACAAAATGAAAGTTGAAGGAGAAATGGCATTTTGCTTTAATCTTTAGTCAAAGTTTGTATTTTTGAAGTTTTAGAAAGCCATCCCTGCTGAATTTTAGACAAACAAAATGACACCGAAGAGTTAAACAAAGGAAGTAATGTTGATGGAAAGGTTGAAGGTTCAGTTCTGCATGGCTAAAACAGAACATTCACATGGGATTTTCTCCAAAGGGAAATCCAACTTGACTTAAAAGTGTTCATTTTTTGAATTTAAACATGTTTTACTCAGTTGTATTTGATAAGATCTAAACTTGTACTTTCACTATTTTACTTCTTTGAGGCAACTATTGATTTTTTAAAAAACAGAAACAAGTTTGCTTGATTTATGTGTCAAGAAAATAGTGTGCAGAAAACACTAAAATTTCACTGTTAGACTTCCTCCCTGGTTTTCACCATACAACACCTACTTTCTACAGAGCATCTGGATGTGTTGTAGGAACTCAAAATGAGAAGCTCAGACCCAAGGCTCCAAGCATGTACACACGAACACACACACTCGTCCAGACCAACTCTCTGCCTCTTGCAGACGGCTTTTAGCAGTTATGGTCAGGCTGATATTTTAATTCAGGACACAGATTGTTTTGTTTATAGACCAATGATTATGTACCAGGTACATAAAATGTTTAATTATAATACCATATCTGCAGTTTGGAGGTACTGTGGTTAGGCCCCATAAAAAGAAAAAGAGACATTCAAAATACATTCATCTAACAGCAAAGAATTCTTCCACTTTTTATTTATTTTAATATACGGATATTTCCATAAACATGGAAGTGGAAGATTAAGCTGTTCCATAAAAGTCATTTCATATATATAATATTCAGCAATTGTTTTAAAATTCTGTTTACTTAATGAATTTTTGGTACTAACAAAAAATTCAGATACAAATAATTAACTAGAAATGGAAATTGTCACAAAACCGAAATACGCGGTAACTATATTCTTCAAGGAAATAACCCAAATAATTCTTACTGTGTTAGAAGAATAAAGTACATTTGTTATAGTATACCATTATCATATTCCCTTAAAGCAGGAACTAAAAGTTCATAAACTCAGAAGTGTTCAGGCTTACTTCTGTCCGTACATTCAGGAACAATCATCCAAGTGGTTACATACAATTCTCTCATGCAATATCGCAGTTGTCTTCTACAGTCTAATGAAATCAAGTCACATGGAGAACAGTAATTTCATTAGCAAGCTATAATTTAGAGGTGTAGAAATTCAGCCCTGAGCTGTATTTCCTGACTACTGCACTGCTGCTGCTCCATCTAGGTTCTTCACATACTAGAACTAACAGACCTCGATGACTAAGAATTTCATAAAAGCAAATGACAGAATATGGAAGTTCTTTACTGTTATGATAATCTTTACAGTCCTTGAAGAACTAAAGGATTCCATGTGTATGTGTGAAAGGAGCAGAAAACACAAGCAGGACGCTGAGATAGGAATATGGAGGGGATGCTGCGAATACTACATTGCAATGTGTGTCAAAAACTGACAGTCTCCCCAGTGTAGAAAACAAAAGCAAAAACAAAAACAAGAAAAATACTCCAAGAAACCAAAAACCAAAACCAAACAGTTGATAGTATAAATGTTTAAATGGATGATTTGTGGAAAACTGTTACTTTTGATAAAATTTAGTCCTTTCCTTGTAGCTGCAAAGAAACTTAACTGGAATTTTTAAATTAACAGTCTAGAAAACCCAATAGTTAGAATCTTTCTGAAACAAGTAGACAAATCAAGTTGAGGACCATGGTTAAAATACTTTTCACTCTGAATACTTATCAGTTCATGTGTTTTGTTACTCCAATTGGCTTCTCTCTCTCTCTCTCTCTCTCTCACACACACACACACACACACACACACACACACAAACTTTTCGTAAGAGCTACTACATCTAGGAGTGACGAAAATAAATTAGTTCCCTTTCTCCTCTAAAAGACATTACTTACTCTCTAAAGCATAAAAAGTTCTATAATATCTTATACAAATTAACCAGTGTTCTTACAAAAGTAATACAGTTTTGGACTGATGACATCACACTGTGGTGAAGTACTAGGAACAAGAATATATGGATCAATTAGGCATTTTCCATCTAATCAGTTTCTAAGTTATTTAATTCTTGGCAATATATAGGAACTGGGACGTATTTTGGTACTCAAGTCACAGATTACGGAGAACGAGAAGCAGTGCATCACAGTAACAAGGTTTGTATTGGACAAACAACTGCAAGCTGAAGAACTCTCTTCTATGAACTCTGGGATTTGTTTTGCTGTTGATCACTTGGAGTAGATCCTGAAAAAATTAAAACAAAAGTCAACAATTTGCTAACCATGGAACTAGCTAAGCCAAACAAATATAAAAAACTTAAAAACAAGCAGATACATTTCCTATAGGCTGACTTAAACCGTGATGAATTTGGGTCTTCCTGCCTACATATCCTTTTTCTTTTCTTTAAAGATTTATTTATTTATTATTGGAAAGGTAGACTTAATCTGCTGTTCCACAATGCCACTTTGGCATTATTTTTATTTATTTATTTATTCTTAAAATTTATTTTTATTAAAAAGTCAGATTTACAAAAAGCAGGAGAAATAGAAAGATCTTCCATCCTCTAGTTCACTCGCCAAATGGCTGCAACGGCCAGAGCTGAGCTGATCCAAAACCAATAGCCAAGAGCTTCTTCTGGATCTCCTATGCAGACACAGGGTCCCAAGGCTTTGGGTCATTCTCTCCTGCTTTCCATGCTACAAGCAAGAGCTGGATGGGAAGTGGAACAGCCTGGACACACACTGGTGCCCATACAGGATCCTGGTATATGCAAGGTGGATTTCGCCACTGGCGCACCACCCTGGGCCTCTGCCTACAAAATCTAAAGAGAAATGTAGCAGACTTGGTGGTAGGGCAAATAGACTTCAGACTGATTCTTTCTATGAGGAATCACAGGTGGAGAACAAAGTATTTACTGTAAGCACTGGACACTATAAAAAGGTTTTATAAAAATGCAATAAAAACACAGGATTGGGGAAGAAAACAGGGAGGGAAAGAAACTGCCAATGCTGAAAAGTAACTGGTCTTTTAGAATATGGAGATTTTAAAATCTTTTAGGTGTTTAAGGGCCTAAAAATGGGAGACAATAAATAGTTAGGTAGCCTTTCCTCCCCTGATGTGGACTTCTGAAGCCTATCTCCACTGGAGAAAAATCAGGCACTGAGCAAAAACAAAATTTAATCATATGCTATATGTACGAAGACAAGTGCATTTATGTTTGTGCAAAATTTAACAACTTACAGGAAGAGACGAGCAAAAGGTCACTGTTCTAAAAAAATCGTGGCTTAAGAAATGAAAAGGAAAGAAACTCTCTAATCTTTGATTTTTTTTTTGCAATGATTTATTCTTTATTGGAAAGTCAGATATACAGAGAGAAGGAGATACAGAAAACTGGTTCACTCCTCAAGTGTCTGCAATGGCAGAGCTGAGCCCATCTGAAAGCCAAGAGCCTCTTGCGGGTCTCGCACGCGGGTGCAGGGTCCCAAGGCTTTGGGCCATGCTCTAATGCTTTCCTAGGCCATAAGCAGGGAGCTGATGGCAAGTGGAGCAGTGAAGACACAAATTGGCACCCACAGGGGATCCCCACGGATGCAACAGGAAAATCTATCCACTAGGCCATCACGCTGGGCCCTAATGTTTGAATCTTTTGATATAATTAATACAGGTGCAATTTCTAGCAGAAAGGGGGTATTTGTAGGGTCTAACCATATTAATATGGAAAGTCTGAACAGAAATTGATGAAAAGTTGAAGCTATTCATTTAAATACATCAAAACCAGGACAAACAAATACAACAACCCCTATAGATATAGGTCAAAAGGAAAACAAAGATTCCAAAGCAGTTAGGACAGGAGACAGGCTGTCTAAATATAGATTATATATTTGATAAAAGAAGAGAAACATGTAGCACTACTCCTCAATGTGCATAACAAAAAAATTGCAACCAAGACAGTAATTCATCAGTTTGTATCAAAGAATTACTCATACACTTCATACTATGCACACCAAAACAATAATATAATAGTTTACTTTCCTAGGACTTAACCATTCTAGGTGTCATAAACAAACTAAGCTGCATCACCAGTAAGAATCATCAGTGTTTAAATATGAAAAGTAGGTAACGGGCATAGAAAAATCATTAGTTGAACAAGACATTCACCTTCAGAACAATAAATCAGCAAAACCCACTTCCTATCACTAGGAAAGAGATGTTTTAAGAGAATGTTCAAAGACTTAAAAAAGTAAAATCACAGGGCTCAGCATGGTAACATAGCAAGTTAATCATCAGCCGATGATGCCACATCCCATACAGGTGCTGGCTCTTATCCTGATCCTTCACTTCTGATCCAGCTCCCTGCTTATGACCTTGGAAAGCAACAGGGGATGGCTTAAGTCCTTGGGCCTGTGCACCCACATGAGAGATCTGGAAGAAGCTCCTGGCTTCAGACTAGTCCAGTTCTGGCCACTGTGACCATGTGGGAAATAATCTGATGGATGGAAGATTCCTCCCTCTCTCTGTAAGTCTGAAGTAAAAATAAGTAAATCTTTAAAAAAAAATCACACAACCTGCTAATCTGATAGAGAATTCACATTGGAAAGACATGAAATGTTTTACAACGATTGGGACATAAAATAAGTCTTCCACACTAAAAATTAGCTTACAGAATGGACAAAGGCATCTGCATTCCATATAGGAATGTCTGGGTTTGATTCACCATTTGGCATCCAGATCTCCTTATAGAAGGCCATATAAATCACAAAACAAAGTCACGTAACAAAATGTATGGTTTTAACAAACGTTTTTAAAATTTTTTTTGAAATTGGTCACCAAAACTAAAATTTTAAAAGCCTTTAGCTTAATGAGTTGTTTTCACTTTCAAATCATCAAACCTTGATTTGATTCTTCTGTATTCATGCTTTCTCCATCTGCAGTCTCCAACATTTCTTCATCTTCATCTTCATCATCATCATGTAGGTCTTTTGAAATCAATTGTCTAGCTAATTTAATATTCAGTCCTTCATTGTAGTGAAGTTTCCTTTTCATTTCAAATTGCCGTTTTTTTTCTGTAAGATATCATAAAAGCAAGCTTAGAAAGTCTCTCAAGAGTCTGGGTTTTCCTGGAGAACAGTTGCACTCTTTTATTTTCATCACGTTTAACGCTGCCTTTATGCTCCATGGCAGAGTTGAGTAGTCTGCAAAAACCCTACAAGACCACAAATTCCAAAATGTTTACTACCTGACGCTTTACAGAAAATCTTGCTAACCTTTGTTTTAGATACATCACAATAGAAGAACAGAAATAAGAGATATTAAGAGTCATATTTTTGTGGAGAAATTTTAAATATATTTCGGCAAAAGCTGAATCACAAAAAATATCATGCACAAAGTCTGTACATACACATATACAAGCATTCATGCATTATACAAGACAACAATTAATAGTGGTTAATTTTTGGCCAAGAACTAAAGGTTAATTTTAGTATTTTAATATACAAACAAGACACGTTTCTCTCATGTACACAGTATAGTCATGACCTTATTATTATTATTATTATTGTTGGAAAGTCAGATTTACAGAGAAGGAGACAAGGGAGAAAGATCTTCCATCTGCTGATTCACTCCCCAAGTGGCTGCAACGGCCAGAGCTGAGTGAATTCAAAACTAGGAGGCAGGAGCTCTTCCTTTCAGAAACAGAAAGAAATCTTAAAAAAAAAAAAAAAAAAGAATGCTTCTAATATAAGTGTGGTCTCATCTCCTTTGAATATCAGTATTCACTTCATTTGTAATTTTTGTACACCAGAGCAACATAATGCAAATGAGTAATATACTTTAATACACTTTGTAATTAAAGTAATATAAAGTATAAATAAAGTATAAACATAAAGCAATTAAAGTAATATACTTTAACACACTTTGGTTTTGGGCCCTAGCCATGGTCAACTATTCATATGAACAACAAGTCAGTTGTTCCTTTTTTATCTACCTTTATGTTTTACAGGGTAATGTTTATTCAGCATTTATAATACACCAGTACAGTGCCAGTGCTTTAAAGGATTCATCTCATTTATTGCCAAAAAGTTTGAAATAGTTTTAGCACTCTCCATTTAGAGAACAGAAAACGGCACTGTGATGTTAGCAGGTTAAGCTATCGCCTGCAATGCTGGTATCCCATATGGGCTCTGATTTGAGTCACGGCTGCTCTGCTCTGAGCCAGCTCCATCCTTATGGCCTGGGAAAGCAGCAAAAGATGGCCCAAGTGCTTGGACCATGTGGGAGACCTAGATGAAGCTCCTGGTTTCTGACTTAGGCCTGGCTCAGCCCTAGCAGTTGTAATCATTTGGACAGTGAACCAATGTATGGAAGATGTCTCTGACTCTTCCTTCCTTCTGTAAGTTTCCTTTCAAAAAAATAAACGAAAAAAAAAAATCAGAAAACTGAGTTTCAGAGAAGTTAAGCAAATCAGGGAAGCAAAATATCTACAGTACAAACTTAGATCTAACTTCATAGACAACTATTTTCAATTTAAATATTAAGATTTATTTTCTAGGAAACTTCAATATCAATAAATGTTTTTTCAGATGTAACTATGTTGCAGTTAATTACTGTCCTTCCCTAAAGTATGAGAATAATTAGGTGAAGGACTCCCCCTTTTGGTTGACTCTGGAACTGTAACTTAAGTAACCATTCCCCTGAAAACAGGTAACACAGGTAACAAAGGTAACAATTCTCAGTAGATCCTAACTTCAGAGAGAGTAATGAGGATACACACTCTAGTAACAACTTTCATCTTAAAACCTTTCCAAGGGCTCTTTCCCTTGTGAAATATTTTGGGAAAATAAATCAGGAAGTCACTGAAAGTAGAAGAGATAATGACATAACTTGAGAATGAACTACATGTAAAATTTCTCTCATACAAATATTAGGCTCAGACCATCATAGTTCTGTTGAATGGGCTGTATTCCTCTCAAAATTCATGGAAAGAATAGCAAACTATACCTCAGTAGCCACGTAAGATAAAGCTCTCGACAGCCAAGTGACAAATATCTGGAGTCTAAGCTCTTAAGTGTCTGAATTTCTTTTACAGCACAGGCAGGTCCCACATTGCAAAGTTTCAAGTATACTTCTACCTTCTTTTTTCTGAATGTGTGTTTCTTGCATATTTTCCCCTGTATTGAGACTCCTTTTTCTATTTTAAAGATAGTTAAAAACAAATAAACAAACAACCCCCCAAAACAAAGCATGGCCATCCCTTGGTACCCACAGTGGCGCTGGGTCCAGGATCTCCTGCAGATCTTGGAGGTCTGCAGATCCTGAAGCTCCTTATTTAGCTAGTGACAGGCAGCCCAATGACCCATGAACTGTGAATAAAGGACAGAGACTGGAGACTAACAAAACAAAACTGCTCATTAGTAAGCAGTAACACTGAAGGAAACCAAGGAACCAAGCTTGACCTGTTCATCACTGGGTGATAGAAGAGACCCCTCATGCAAATTTCTAATCTAGAAAATTTCCCCAGTGAGGAGTAGTCAAGGATGCCAAACATTTGAAAAGGAGAGGATGTGTGAGTAAAATGTGAATACAACACACTGGAAGTTCTGCTACAGCAGCTCTGTGAGCTAAGCAAGCACTGGTGACACAGAAAACCCTAACAAGATTATCTTGAAAAAGAGAAACTTGGATTTATTTGTTTTATTAAAACAAACCAACAAACAGACACTTCTTCCCAGGAGAGGCTAGAAGTCAGTTTGATTTTGGCAACTGCCAAGCTGACTGGCTTGGAAACAAGCAGAAACTGGGTTCAGTGGTGGTGCTTCGTTGCAAGAGGCAGTCTGTTTTTTTCGTTTATTGTTGTTTTAACCTACAAGGCTAAAAATGGAGCTGCGGAGTCTAGTTCTTCTGAACCTTTGAAACACCACACTGTACATGTGCCAGCTAGAAGGTTGGTAAAGGATTTACATAATCTGAGAATGAGTAAGAGTGGGCAATATCCACATCACTGCAGTTTCTTTTTCCCATGAAACAAGGGGCTAGAGGTTGCATTTCACAAAACATCCCCCCAAAATTGTGCCTAAGATGCTAGAAAACACAAAAATAAACACATACCCAACAGCAAACTTCAAGTAAGAATTTTAGATAAATTTAATGCTCTAATAATCTGACAAAAGCATCATTTGGAAACTGAAGGAAAAAAGGTCAAGTGTTTGCAAATAACCTTCTCATATTCCTATATACTTTAAATCATACCTAAGTTACTTATAATACATAATACCATGTAATGCCATGTGATCTAATACTGTAACTATATGACTAGCTGTTATTTATATTGTATCATTTAGGGAACAATTAAAGAAACAAGATCTGTGTTGACCTGATTAAAATTTTTTTCCTTAATAATCTTCACCCCCAGGCCTGGTGGTGTGGCCTAGCGGCTAAAGTCCTCGCCTTGAATGCTCTGGGATCCCATATGGGCACCAGTTCTAATCCTGGTAGCTCCAATTCCCATCCAGCTCCCTGCCTGTGGCCTGGGAAGGCAGTCGAGGACGGCCCAAAGACTTAGGACTCTGCACCCACAAGGGCGACCTGGAAGAAGTTACTGGCCCCTGGCTTCGGATCTGCGCAGCACCAGCTGTTGCTCCCACTTGGGGAGTGAATCATCAGACGGTAGATCTTCCTCTCTGTCTCTCCTCCTCTCTGTATATCTGACTTTGTAATGAAAATAAAATATATCTTTAAAAAAATATTTTCTTCATTCCAGGACTCGGCATGATAGACTCAACTGGCTAAACCTCTCCTTGTAAACACTGGATCCCAATATTGGCACTGTTTTGAGCCCTGGCTGTTGCACTTCCCATCTAGCTCCTTGCTTGTGGCCTGGGAAAGCAGTGGAGGATGGTCCAAAGCCTTGGAACTTTGCACACATATGGAAGACCCAGAAGAAGCTCCTGGCTCCTGGCTTTGGATAAGCTCAACTTATATATAAACAAATTTTTAAAACGTATTTTTGATTTCAGGTTGCTGCATCTAAAGATACAGATGTAGAAGCTGACTACACAATTTAAAATTCTTGAGATTATATATTCACACAGTCAGAGCAGCACAAAAAAGAAAAAGAAAAGGTGAAATACACTCCTTCTCTCCAGGCCCCTATATAAAGCCACCGTTACTTGCAAGAACAGAAACCATGAGCGGGTAGCAGTGTCTTAAACTGCACGTGAACCTTAACACGCTACCAGAGCCTCTCCTACCCGTTAAGAGGGCTCCACCTCATTTTCCATCACACTACTCCTCCTTTTCTTCCAATAAAGCTCTTTACATCTGACCATCTTGGTTCATTTGATAAATACATGTCTATTCTGCAGCAGGAAAAACAAAAGTCATAGGAAAATGAGCTCTTACAGTTATCCACACCCCAAAGTCCACCCAAACACTCAGTGGCTCTAAATGCACTAATTAAATACATACCGAGTATGCTACACCAAATACCAAAAAGCATAGAGAAAAGCATATTAATGATGATTTTAAAAATGGCAGTATTTCCCCAAATTCTTGAAATCAGGAGAGAAAAACCCTCATAAAGCAGAATGAGAAAGGTAACAGCATCGATTTTCATTTTTCTACCTGCCACTCTCCTAAATAAAAATGACCTGCTTCCAGATGATGAGTTTACATTAGCAATAATTATTAGCAGCACACAGCAAGCAATAAAGAAAACAAATCCACTACCTCGTTCTTCAGGGGACAGGTCATTGTCCTCCTCTCCACTGCTTTCCTGTTCCCGAATTCGGTACTTCGGCTCTGAGCCTTCAGCAGCAGCCAATCTACACAACAAGCATTTGCAAGGAGATTAGTGTTCTGATAGCTTAAATATTTTACTTATTCAACTTCTGAATGTCATAAAAACATCTCAATATTTAAAATCTAAATGTCACTAGAACATCTAATTAATATGCTAAGGGGGAAAACCAAAAAGCAAGAGTTAAAAATGGGTTTAGAATCGAACAAGCAACAAGAACAGAGGAAGGGTGCAAGAAATCAATGAGCAGCAGAAAATTCTCTAAACTTTTTTTTTTAAGATTTATTTATTTTTATTACAAAGTCAGATATACAGAGAGGAAGATCTTCCATCCGATGATTCACTCCCCAAGCAATGGCCGATGCTATGCCGACCTGAAGCCGGGAGCCAGGAACTTCTTCCAGGTCTCCCACATGGGTGCAGGGTCCCAAGGCTGTGGACTGTCCTCGACTGCTTTCCCAGGCCACAAGCAGGGAGCTGGATGGGAAGTGGAGCTGCCAGGATTAGAACTGGCACCAATATGGGCTCCACGGTGGGTTCAAGGAGAGGACTTTGGCCGCTAGGCCACGCCACCGGGCCCCTGAACTTTTCTTTTGACCTCTATATTTCTATTTTGAAAATGTAGATGGCAGGATATCACACACACACACACACACACACACACACACACACACACACATCCCACAGGAAACTGATATACCTGTATATCCTAGCTTCAAGTCCTGAACTACAATTTTCCTACCACCTGCACACCCTAATTTTAATCAAGAAACAAAACTATGAAAGTTGGTGTGAAAGATTCACATTAATTTGGCCTTTAATCTGTACTTGTACAAGTAATGTCTTCAATTTAGTACAATCAAAACAGCTTAAGTGGGTCCATTACAGTAGTCTAGTGGCTAAAGTCCTCACCTTGCACACACTGGGATCCCATATGTGGAAAGATTCTAATCCCAGCTGCTCCAATTTCCCATCCAGCTCCCCGCTTGTGGCCTGGAGAAGCAGGAGAGAATGGCCCAAAGCCTTGGCACCCTGCACCGGTGTGGGAGACCTGGAAGAAGCTCCTGACTCCTGGCTTCGGAATGGCTCTGACCTGAGTGGCCACTTGGGGAGTGAATCAATGGATGGAAGATCTTTCCTGTCTCTCTGTAAATCTGACTTTCCGATAAAAATAAATACATCTTTAAAAAACGAAAAAACAGTGTAAGTGATAATGCTTTACAGTCGATAATACTTACTTCTTAGCTAAGGTGTCTGGAGTTACGGCTTCACTGGTTTCTGAATCGCTGTATATGTCCTCATCGTCACCTATCATACTAGGGTTGGCAAGCATAATGTAATTAAAACAATTATATAATCAGAAAAACAAGACATACAAATGCAATTCTACCAATCTATTTTAAAATACCAATATACTTACTGTACTGTCACCATCTTTGAGGTTTAATTGTATAAAATTTCTATTCAATGAAAATATTTAAAATATACCACCAATAAGGAAAAAGTTCCAACTGATTAAAAGGAACAACAAAATACAGCAGGCATTTGGCTGGCAGTCAATATACCAGTTAAGGTGTCTGCATCCAGGTGGGAATGCCTGGCTCAAGACTGGTCCGTGGCTCCTTTACCAGCTGTCTGCTAATGGAGTCCCTGAGTCTCACATGGTTGGGGTTCCTTCCACTTATTGGAGAACCGGACTGATTTTTTGGTTCCCAGCTTCAGCAAAAGGGATGTTATAGCAGCCTTTCAAGTAAATAAAAAAATTGTAAAGTATCTTAAAATGCTAATAATCCAACCAAAAAGATAAAAGCAGAAAACTTGAATATTGGGAAAAAAATAAAAATGCTTTCTATTCCAACAAAGTGGGAGAAAACAAGTAATGCAAGGAAACCACTGTCTTGTTTTAGAGCATGCATGTGTCTATCAGCCTTAAGAGAGGCAATGAGCTACAGAGACACAAAAAACAGGAAAAGTAACAAAAATCTAGATCCAGTGGCTCTGATTCAGGAAGTTTAACTCTTTAGCTCTTCCTTTTCTATCTGCTAACAACAACAACAAAAAAAGTCCAGTTTACTGTAAAAGTCAGCCTCAATTCTTAAACTACTGAAAAGTATACAAAGCAGAATTGAGCAATATAATAAAAAACTCCTGGTCAATATGTTTATTGGTTAATCCAAAAGGCACGTTTAAAATAGCTATAGTTTAGAAGATGTTGCTTTTCCCCAAAGAAATGTGAATTAAATACCTGTGCATTACTGGATTTAATTAGACAAATTAATGTAAAATCAACAGTTTTCAATTTCTTCTAGGTTATGCCATGGAATTTACAGATGACTACTTTATAATTGTGCATGTAAATAAAAGAACTAATGTTTTATATCAACAGGGTAAAATTCTTAGGTAGTATAATAAATCTTTCCATGAAATGTATCTTCTGCTAAATGAACTAAAAGCAAAGCATGGAATGGGAATACTGAGCCTTGAACTGGTAAAGCTGAGGGCGTTTCTCTCTGCATACACTCAGCCTCCATTACAGAGTCCAAATAACTTCTCAGCAACTATTGGAGTAAGGATACACTTGGGGACTGGGTGGCGGGGAGCAATATCAAATATCTACCATTCACGTTTATTATGTTTTAAATAGTAAAGTTCAAAAAATAACAGCTGTAACTATGTCCAACCAATGCAGATAAGCAAGATCTGGCTACCACAATTACCCCAATTTTGGTACAACAAAGGTTCTGAGATGGTTTTAAACCATATATCTGTGATAAAAACAAATAAAACAAAAAACTTAAACAAATGACAAACAAAAAAATGAAATAAACAAACAAAAAAACAGAAAGCATATACCCGTGATTGGGAGAAAAATATGGTTACAAACTTTTTCTTGTATATGCAGTCTTGTCTCGGATTTCATTATCATTCAGTTTCATCATTTGGCCTACTTATTTCTACCTTTGTCACAATCTTTAACATCTTTATATTCTTAAATTATTTTTCTTAGTATCAAGTTATCTTGAATTAGCTTCCAAGGTTTTCATTCATTAATTTAAAATTTAGCATTTGAATCTATTGTACTGGTAACTTCTGGATCAAAGCTGTCTTAATTTCCAGGATGAAAACATTAAGTACTTTTCAGAGCATAACTTTGGGTAATGTTACTTATTTCAAATTTACATCTTATCATTTTTGTCTTCTTAGAGAATTTACAATTCATTTAAAAAATTATGAAATTCAAAACTACCAAAAATCATGACAATGCTGAAACCATCAAACTACATAAATGCAAAAATAAACACATCAAGTTGCTAGTAGCAGCAATGACTACTCATCTTTAGCATCATTAGCAGCTAGTGACTACTAAGGAACAAGAAGTAAATGTCTGACACTGTAATGATAATGTATACAATGCATTCCACAATTTTAAACCTATATATTACTTATACTGTCATTTAGAATTATGCAGTATTAACTGGTAATCTAGCGACAAACATAAAACAAAACAGAATCAAATGACCAATTATACAGAGAAGCTTCCAACAAGGCAATGCAGCAGCGAATCACTAAAGGAACAGCTTCCACAGAACATTACCTGTGGTAAGGGGTGCTTGGCTCATCTATTTTCATTAAGCCATAGTCTTTGTCTGCTGGATGATAAGTGGCCAAGATGTTCATTTCATCCCACTTCTGCGACTTCTTACTAAAATTAAAAAGAAAAAACATTCCCCAATGCAGTAAAATACAAAATGCACAACTATAATTTATGGCCATCTAAATCCTCTATATTAATTGCTATTTAACTATTGATATCTGTATATTTTTACATATAGTAAGTGCTCTGAATATGTTATACTAGAAAAACAATTTGTGCTTATATAGTAAAAACAAAGTAATTTAGAATCTCTCTCGGGCTCCAAACACTACTAAGGTACATGTAGTCTTTACCTGACCTATGGAATTAATAACTAATATTATTATCTAAACATTATTTACATTATCTACATATCTTAGTAGTTATGGATTTCAGACGTATATCAGTAATTGTTAAAAAAAAAAAAAAAGGACCAGGAATATTTCTTTGCACAACTTCTTCAGAGATAATCCACAACAATTAGTAAATAAATAAAACATTAATAACATAAAGTTACAGCAAAAATTTTATTGAATTCAGAGTTCCATGATGAAATTCCATTGTAAATAAATACTACAGCTCACCTTATTTTTAACAGAAAACAAGAGTTTATTAAGAAATGCAATAGCTGGGAGCTGGCTTATGGTGCAGCACTTTCTGAAGGCTATGGATGCAGAGACAGATATTTCACAGGTGATGAAGGCAATTTGCACCCCCTCCCAAAAAAGGTTAGAGTTGCCTTAAAGTCTCCTCATTGCGAAACAGTCAAAGTCTGAAACACCTACATGAAGCTAAAAACTAAGACACTGGTCGTTTTTATTTTTAAAAAAAATTTACTTATTTTTATTGGAAAGGCAGATATACAGAGAGGAGAGACAGAGAAAAATCTTTTTTTTTTTTAAAGATTTTATTTATTTTTATAGGAAAGGTGGACATACAGAGAGGAGGAGAGACAGAGAGGAAGATCTTCCATCTGATGAGTCACTCCGCAAGGGACTGCAACGGCCGGTGCTGTGCCAATCCGAAGCCAGAAGCCTAGAACCTCCTCCAGGTCTCCCTTGAGAGTGCAGCACCCCAAGGCTTGGGGCCGTCCTTGACTGCTTTCCCAGGCCACAAGCAGGGAGCTGGATGGGAATTGGAGCTAACTGGGATTAGAACTGGTGCCCATGTGGGATCCCGGGTGCGTTCAGGGTGAGGACTTTAGCTGCTAGGCCATGCCTCCCAGTCCCAGAGAAAAATCTTGTGTCAGCTGACTCACTCCCCAAATGGCCACAATGGCCAGAGCGGAGATCAGAGGCTCTTCCAGGTCTCCCATGTGGGTGCAGCGTCCCAAGGCTTTGGGCCATTCTCAACTGCTTTCTCCCAGGCCACAAGCAGGGAGCTGGATGGGAAGTGGAGCAGCAAGGACACGAACTGGGACCCATGTGGGATTCTGGTGCACGTAGGACAATGACGTTAGCCAGTAAGCTACCATGCAGGGCCCAACAGGTCATTATTTTTAAGAAAGAAAACATTTCTACTGCATCATTATTCATTCAGCAGGAAACTCTGAATTTTCAGCTAATCAAATTAAAATGTCTCTGATATTAAAAAAAAAATCAGTTAAGCTAGATTGGATAAAAAGACCTTTAATAGTACCTATTCTTCAGATGTCCGGTCTTCTACCTATCATACTAATAGTTGATTCTGTGCCAGAAAACAAAATACAAACTAGTTGGGAGACCACTGTTTTAAGTTGCAGCCACCCTTCGCTAGTGTCGTTTATTACAAACAATTCCAATAAACACCCTCTTTTGGGTTATATTTATGTGAAAATTATTATAAAATGGAGTTATAACACTTCCCATGAATAATGTTGAAATAACGTCTGTGAAATCAAATTATAAAAGCACCATATAAATGTGAAGGAGCTTTTAGGATTCTAAAATCCAAAGTCTTGGATTAAAAACACTAGAACATGGACCAGCACTGTGGCAGAGAGTGGTCTCTTATTTGAAACCTGGATGTTTCACTCGTGGTCCAGCTCCCCATGTGCTGATGCACCTGGGAAAGCAGTGAAAGATGGCCCAAGTGCTATGGTTCCTTGTGGGAAAAAGTTCTTGACTTAGGACTGACAGCCCCAGCTGTTGTGGCCATTTGGGGAGTGTACCAATCTTCCTCTCTGTTTCTCCTTCTCTGTAAACCTGATTCTCTAAATAAAAATAAACCTTTAAAAAATACTAAAACAAGATTTCACTTAATATACAGGGGCTGAGTTCCAATAAAGTTTTCTGAAAAGAAGTTTAAATTGCTTTTGCGTTAATTCCCTTCTACCTTTGTCCTATAAGATTTGAAACCTAAATCATTTTTGGAAATACTCAGGAATTGCTACAAAATGAGCATTTCTAAAAAGCAGTTAGTTCTCTACTTCAGATTAAATTTAGTTTCAGAAACTTTATTATTCATTATTTTCTGCAAATATTTGTAGATTTAGGGATGGCTGTAAATTTAGGTAAGACACTTGAGATGCTTGTGTCCCACTACTGGAGTGCCTGAATGGAGGTCTCATTCACACTGCTTCCAATCCAGCTTCCTGCTAAAGCGCAACCCGGGAGGCAGCAAGTGAGGGCTCAAGTAACTGAGATCCTGCCATCCATGGGGCAGAACTGGATAGGGTTCCCAGGTCCTGGCTTCAAATGGCATACCCTAGTGGCAGCAGTAGTTTGGAAGTGAACCAGCCGATGGAAGATCTCTCCCACTCTCCATCATTTTTTTTTTAAACAAATAAGTAAATCAGTAAATATTTTTTTAAAAGATTTATTTTTATTGGAAAGTCAGATTTACAGAGAGAAGGGGACATCCGCTGGTTCACTCCACAAGTGGCCACAAACGGCCGAAGCTGCACCAGTATGAACCCAGGAGCCAGGAGCTTCTTCCAGGTCTCCCACACGGGTGTAGGGTCCCAACAATTTGGACTGTTCTCTTCTGCTTTCCCAGACCACAGGCAGGGAGCTAGAAGGAAAGCAGAGTATCCAGGATAAGAACCAGTGCCCCAAAGGGATCTAGGTGTGTGCAAGGTGAAGACTCTAGCCACTAGGCTACTGCACTATGCCCCAAAACAATGAATCTTTAAAAGTGGGGAGAAGAAAAAACTACAATCTGCCCAAAATGTTAAGAAATCAATGAAATTTCAATAAACTATCAGAAGGCACTGGATATGAAGATCCACATCTCCAAAGCTTTAATATTATTTATACTTGCTGTGGAGTAACAGAATTCATGGCATGACCCTGAACTTTTAACATCAACATCATGCACTGCGTGACCTTTCTGGACCAGTCTCTCTGCAGACAGAAACAGAGGCACCACCATGGCAGGTCTGCTGTGATGGCAAAAGCACCTGCTGGTTTTAGGCCTCTCTCCAACTCTGTCTTGGGTCACTAGTTTTGCTGCAACCTAAATCTGATCAATAAAAAGTCCCAACTTCTCACTTTCACTTTGTTAGGTCAAAGGATGCCACTTCAAAAACCTACACATACTTTTTGTTGCTGTGACATGCTCTTTTGATAGCTTTGCCTGTGCCTGGTGTGGGAAGTAGGATTTTTGCTTCAGGGTGAAAAAACGTTAATTGCACATTTCATCAGTAGTTTTCTTTCTTTAAATAAAAATTCAACTTGCACAGGCTGACAAAGTACAAGATTTTGGAGACTGATGTCATTACCAAACAGTTGAAGACTTAATGATAGAAGCAATTATAAGCAAGCAAAAAATAACTTTTATACAGTGAGATTCGTGTGTAATATTCCACACCTCTTTATTAGCAGAAAAGACAGAATTGGATTATGCCTATACCTTAAATTATACCAAAGGAAATTAATTTAAGCACATTTTTTTGAAGCAGTAGTGGAGCCCAGATTGTATAGAACACCCCACTGAGATACAGTAAAAGTTAGATTCCTATATTCATTACTATTACAGCAAGACTAACACCCAAAAGTTAGGCACTGGGTTAGACAGCTGCATTTACTAATTCATTTAATACTTCAGCTTACCTACGTGCACATACAAAATAATTCACTGGAAAATCATAACTAATAGCTTGCCATGGCAGACAGGATTCAAACCCAAGCAACTACCCAGTTCAACCCTTAAGTGTAACACTTCTCATAAGATAGGCTTTTAGTGACATTTAACATATTTTAGTAATATAAAATGTGCATTTTTGAAATTTTAATATTTCCATAAAATAACTAAAATAGATGGCACCTTATAATTGGCAGTTTTTCTTTCTTGGTAATGTTTTAGAATCAATGGTGCCCTGTTTTCATGAAGTACACATATATATATGCACACACTGGTTAACTTACACCTGCAGCTGTACACTATCTTCAAGGTATGTTGAAAGAATATCGGAAATCTTACAATCAATAGAAGACAGTGAAGTTTTACTAGACAATGGATCACAATGTACCCAGATATATCTATGCCAAATTAAGTGTGTTTATAGATTCCATCTAATTTTAATTTAAGCAATCAATAAAAAGTAGTATCTAATAAAACAGTATCTTCAAGGAAATCATTCACTGAAAATAACAATCCTAATGCAAAGCACAAAGAGAACAGTAATACTAGTAAGGGCAGCACTCAGCCTCATCACTCACATTCCCTGGCTGTAATTAACTGTCAAAATGGATTTTCAGTATTCCAGGTGCCTCAGCATTTGCTCACAGACACCTGAATAGGAAGAAGTCAGACTTGCCCACTGCCCATGATTCTAGTTGAGGTGAACTGGGCCCAGGTGAAATCAAACCAGGCCTGCTCTTTCATTTCAGCACTTATACAGTGTATAAAGGTCTCTTCACAATTCCTTCAGGATCTGTTCTCTTACATTTTTGTTGGTAAATTTCCTATGCTCTGAAGTGTAAAACACTGTCTAATGTTCTTAAGTGCAAGAAGGTTGTGATGTGACTTTTAGAGAAAACAAGAATAGAGAACCTCTATTCAGGCACAAGCTAATAGTATCATTGGTTGTGAGCATAAGTTAATAAACCATTGCTAAGTGGAGACACAGAACAGGTGTGACCAGATATGTACAGGAATCTTATTCCAACTTCCCCTAAGAGCAAGGCTTCAGTACTCACTGATTCAGTGTATGGGCGCACTTCACAGAGCTTAATTATTGTAAGTAACAACAACAGACTTAGACCTCTGGTCAACTTCACACATAAAATTCTTCTGCCTTGTTCTGTATGTCAAGTTGTATCAGTACACTATCATTTGAAGTTTTCAATCCTTCAAAAAAAATTTTTTTTAATTTGAAAGGCAGATTTTTACAGAGAGGAGAGATACAGAGATGTCTTCCATCCACTGATTCACTCCCCAAATGGCTGCAATGGTTGGCGGTAAGCCAATCTGAAGCCAGGAGCCAAGAGCTCCTTCCAGGTCTCCCAGGTGGGTGCAGGGTCCCCCGACCTCGGGACAGCCTCTACTGCTTTCCCACGCAACAAGCAAGGGGCTGGATGGGAAGTGGAGAAGCCAGGACATGAACTGGTGCCCATTCAGGTGCCACAGGGTGGGCACTACATTAGCCTCTAAAGTTTCTCACTCTTAAGTGCCTTGTAATTGCAAGAATTATTCATTTCCTTTTTATGCAAAAGGGGGAATACTGATTATAATTAAATTAAAACTTGACATTAGAGTTCCAAGTACATTCAACTGTACTTCATTACTTCCGTTCAAAGAGGTCCTTATAAAGTTAGTAATGTTGCTTGCAAAAGCTGTGACATCACAATGCACACTGCTTGACAGCTTGACTAATAGAATTATTTCTTGGCTTTACTGTCACAGAATACTGATCATGAAAAGCCCAGCTCGTTTTACCACTTGGAACCAAGCATCAAGACCCTCAATGACTTACAGCTTGGTAGCTCCCTTTGAAGACACAATTCTAACTGCAGCTTCTACACACAAAGCCCGGAACAGCTGACTTAGTCCAGGACAGCAGCTTTGGAGACAAAAAAGACCTAGATGAAAACCCTAGGCAATTAGAGAGGGGCCAACCCATACAATGGGGCCAGGGGAAATTAGAGCAGATCAAAGGTGAGAATAAGTAGAAGAAAGCAGAGAAAGAAAAGACAAAAAGCTCACACTGCAGTATAACACAAGTGTCCCTGGACATACATTCCTGAAGCTACCTGAGGGCTGTCCACAGCTATCTGCCATCAACTACCTTGGTCTTCCTATTATAGCTTTGTTCTGCTGAGACTGTTTTCTTAATCCATGACCTAAAATGCACGCTCCTCCCCTACAACTCTCCATTTAAAGTGGCTTACCCCAAACAGGGTTTGGAAAATTGCCTGGCACCGAATGCAGGACTGCAGCACCCAAAAGGGAGTGAGTGAGACATGGCATTGGGAGCTGCTGGATAAAAGGAAGGCCCTTTCCAAACTCAGAAACTTGTCATACTATCTAATATTTTCTCTAAGGTAATGTAGGTTACCCCAAAGTTATCATCACGAAGTTATGAATTCCTTTTATGGTCCAAAATGAAATCCTTTTTACAGGAAAGCTCTGATTCTAACAGTCTCAGGGTTCATGATCACAGCTCAGTTTCAAGACTTCCCCAACTTCAGTAACTTTAAGCTCTTTTTTTTTTTAAAACAAAATATAGTTACATTTTAATACACTGGTCCTCTTGCACCTGTGAACCAGTGTCTCACACTTTATATCTACTGCAAACTTTTTTTTTTCCACCCAGCTTTGTATCTTGGAGATCTTCCTCTGTGTACAAAGTCACACTGGAAATTGTTCCATTATACACACATACACCATAATGAATATTTCACTAGTTCTCACTAATGGGCCTTGGGTTGTTTCCAATTATCTATTACTACATGCCAATGCTTCCGGGCAACACGGGTCCCTAAAGAGTAAGGCTCAAGCAACTAAAATATCACTGGACCACTTCAAGTTGCTCCTCTCCCAACGATGAGCTTACTTGTGTCTGCACACAAACTAGAAAGCATTCAAAACTAGCTGTAGATGCAAAAATTACGCGCAGTAAATAGCTTTCCATTAAATATAGATCAAGGACTTAGGAAGTGTCGTGACAATGACACACCAGGAAGTCAGGCAGACATGTGTGTGGCCCGAAGCTTAAGGGCGACAGTAAGGGTCTTTTGCGGGGGCCTGAGGGAGACGGTCTCAATGGCTCGTGTCTTAAAGGGTTCCCAAGATAAGTAAACACACTAATTACTAAAGATTCCTAGATAGCTCAGAAATGAGGCAAAGAAATGTCAGAGAAAACTCCGTAACTTCAGTTTGATTCTTTAAGGTCCCCAACCACGGCAAGCACAAGGCTCCTGGCTGTTTACCAAACATGACAGACGTGCGTACTTTTTAACAACAAGGAAACGCGGCACACGGCAGGGCTCCTGCCCCTCTTTTATCCTTACTCGCCGTGCGCTGCGGACCGGAGAGCCGGGCGCGGCCCCGGGGTGGACGCCGGCCGCCCGGCCGGAGAAGGGCGGACTCCATCCCCCGCCCCGGCTCTCACCTCAGCTCCTCGTCGACGCTCCCGCGGGGCTGCTCGGTCGAGGCCACCCGAGAGGAAGTCGCGGAGGTCTTGTTCTTCAGGATCCCTTTGATGGGCCGGTGCGAGGCCGTCGAGGCCGCCATTGCCGGGAGCTCCGGGGGTCGGCTCACGGTCGCTGCTGGCGTGGGGTCCGGGAAGAGAAGGGGGTCGGGCGCTCGCAGAGCCCCCCGCCAAGGCAGCCGCAACAGCCCGCTCGGGGCTAACGCAGCCTGAGCGCCTCTGGCTGTCGCGAAGACGGCCACGGACGCTGGTGGTCACGACACAAATGACCCCGACGCCAGAGCCTACGGTGCCCGGCCCGGCGGCCCCCGGCGCGCCGCCCTTCACCGCCGGCGTTTCACCCGCGGCCCGCGGAGAGAGGCCGGCCTAGAGCCCCACCGCGGGAGCGACGCGGCCGCCCCAACCCCGCGGGCCCGCCCTCTCGCGATATCTAAGGCGGGGCCGGGGCGGGGAGAGAACAAAGCCCACCTTCTGGCCCCGCCCCCTGCGTCCCTCCTCCCGCCGCCGGCTCGCTCCGGCCTCCCGCCGGCTGGCTCCGGTCCGGAGCGGCTCCCTGAGCGGGCGGGAGCGCTTCCGCCAGCCCGGCGCCGGGCTCGCGGCCTGGCCGGGCACCGCGGGGCGTGTCCGCCAGCCCCGTCCACGCCTCACACCGGCACGGACGGCGATTTCTGTTTCAACACTCTTAGACTCGAAGGTGACGTCACTTAACCACGCTGTTAACTGGCTTTTTAGAAAGATGACGTTTCGTTTCTCCCATTCAAGTCGCCGAAAAGGTTCTTTTCTCAAATCGTAGAATGTCAGCGTTAGTGTGGGCCTACTGTGAGGTCACAGGCACGTTGACTTGTAAGAAACAGGGGGCGCTTTGACCTTTTTCACCGCTGGAGAGGCTGCTAGGGCAGAGCGTGGACGTGATCGCTGCTTGTCCGGAGCCTGTGAGGAGTGACCCGGAGGGCGCCGGGTGCTGCGGGCGCAGGCCAGCCAGGCCTCCCTCCGCAGGCTGCAGGCGGGAGCTCGGAGGTCGGCCCTCCCTCCGGCCACCCCACCGGCCAGGAGTGGTTAGCGCAGGCCGCCCTCCCTCAGCCTCCTCTGGGCCTCAGACTAGCCCCGGCGCGCCCGGCAGCAGGCTGGTCTTGGCCTGGCCATCATCCTGCATCCTCCTCTGCTGGTCAGAGAGACGCCTCGGCAGGCAGTCAGCGGAGGAGGCCCTCTCCCTTCTGTCCCAGGACACCCCCACGTCACTCCTCTAATATTCCCGACAGCTCAGGAACCCCGATTTTCCCCCACTGTGGTGCCGGCTTCGGGGGTGCGGGGCAGAATTTTCCTAGGGCCGCCCTCTCTCAGGAAACTCATCTTCCTCAGAGTCTTAAGGACAAATTCCTGAAAGCTATTTCCGTAAAGCTGTTCTGACCCCCAGCTCCCAACCGAGTTCTTGGCAAGGGAATGGGTGCTGAGTGGAGATAAAGGAGAAGTGAGCCAGGAAGGGGAGAAGGGAAACAACTTTTGTTAGGGACCACTATCTCCCCACCAGGAAGATGCCTTAGCTCCCCGCCCCACCTCTGTTCCCAGCCAAGTATCCACCACTGCCCTTCCTCTCTCCCTCCCTCTCTGTCTTCCTCTCCTGCCTGGTGAGGTGGGCATCACACTCTGGGACCCCTCACAGTGGGAGAGGACTCTTCAGGGAAGCAAAGCCGGATAGCCACCTCCCTTCCCTTCCGGAGGCCTTTGCCTGCCAGCTCCCAGCACTTGTGTTGCTGGTTAGCAGGGGCCAGGTCAGTGGTGGAAATCCTGTTTCCAGGGATTATGCCAATGTCCCTTAGTACTGGGTAGATTTCTTTGTTCCTGCTTGGGCCTGACCTGAACCTGTGATGGGATGTTTAGTGACGTTCTGCCTTACTTTGAGACCCTGCTGTTCAGAGGACTACCACTGGATGATGTAATATGTTTTATTGCAATGCATAAACTAAAAAAAAAAAACAAACAAAAATGTGGAAAAGAGGCAATGATGAGTTCCCCAAAGGACCTTGGAAAAATGTTTTTCTCACCAAATTCCTTCTTACCCTCAGCTCCATCCCAATTGGAGAAGAATTTTAATACTTAAAAAAAAAATAAAGGAAGAAAAGAGAGAATGAATGGTAGAATAGTATTTTTGCTACAGAATTGTGAAGGCCTGGACAGGTGTACTTCATAATTTGAAGTATAGCTGAACCACTTTTTTCCTCCTTATTGCCCAAAAGAAATTTCCAAATATATCTAAACAGAGTTCTTCTGTGCCTGTGCTGAGGTCTGTCCTTATGGGAAGTCACCAGTCAGTCTAAAAACTGCATTTGGCTGTGTTTGTATTACGTTTCCTGTGTGTTGAGAGTTTGGTTGCCAAAACATGGACTGTGGGTGGAATCTTCCATTCTGAATTTGGTTTCTGAAAGCAGTTGTGGAACCCACAGAGAATCATAGGCTTAAAAGTACTTATATGTCTTAAGAATTATCTGGGTATTGTTTCTGCTCTTTTTGATGACTTCATTGTGCTTACCTGACCCCAGGAGGAGGAGATGCTTTTAATGATCATTGTGTGTCTTTTTGTTTGTTTTTAGTTTTTGTTTTTCTAACATTTTCAACTTTATATTAAAATGATTACATGAACCTTGCATGAGTTGAGGTACTTGGCTCTCTGTTCATTGGAGTGCTTTCCTGAGGACAATGCCACTAGGTTTCAAACCAAGAATGAAAGTCCAGAGCTAGAAAAGCCTTCCTTGCCTGAATCCACTCAGCCTACCTAAGTCATCAACCAGGGTTCACTGAATAGAGAAGTGGGTCATGGCCCAAGCCCAGCTTCTGGAAAAACACTCAATGGCTATGACTCAATGACCACTGAGTCAGCTGCAGCTCTTTATTTACGAAGAATAATCACACTGTTGTTGTCTTCCTTTTCAGGGAATCCTTTCCAGCACCAAAGAGCGTTGATCATGCAGTACACTGTTTTTATTTTGCTTCAATAGTCTTGCAGCAAAGGCAATATAAAAAGCAATATAAAAGCAATATAAGCAATATAAAGCAATATAAAAAAAGTATTTTTAAAAAGATTTATTTATTTATTGGAAAGTCAGATATACAGAGAGGAAGATCTTCTTTCCATTGATTCACTCCCCAAGTGAGCGCAACGGCCGTTGCTATGCCGATCCGAAGTCAGGATCCAGGAACTTCTACTGGGTCTCCCACACGGGTGCAGGGTCCAAAAGCTTTGGGCCGTCCTCGACTGCTTTCCCAGGCCACAAGCAGGGAGCTGGATGAAAGTGGAGCTGCCGGGATTAGAACTGGCACCCATATGGGATCCCGGGGCATTCAAGGTGAGCACTTTAGCTGCTAGGCCACGCCCCGGGCCCAAAATAAAAAAAAGTATTACAGAGAGAAAAATGAGGATTCATAATTTTCTGCTTTAAAAAATTAACTCGGGCCCAGCGCGGTGGCGCAGTGGTTAAGGTCCTCGCCTTGCACGCCTGGGATCCCATATGGGTGCTGGGAGACCCAGAAGAGTCTCCTGGCTTCGGATCGGCATAGTATCGGCCCGTTGCGCTCACTTAGGGAGTGAATCATCGGATGGAAGATCTTCCTCTCTGTCTCTCCTCTCTGTATATCCGCCTTTCCAATAAAAAAATAATAAAAATAAATCTTTAAAAAAAACTTATGGAAACATCTAAATGGATTCTGGAGTCTAGATCGTTCAATGGGAACTCATTTTTACTCATAATATTGTGCATATACTCATTTGCATTTGTCCTGGTTGAAATTTCTCAAATATGTAATTTTATTGTTCCAATTTGGCTATTATGACAGGTTGCAGAATGACCGAGGGTCCTTCCATTTATTCACAGTTTTTCTTGTCTTCCTATGGCTCTCACATGGAAAAAATTGAATTATGTAATGATCCTTAATTTATAAATTGAATTCTGCTCTGCCACACATGGTGCTGGGCTTGGGGCAAATAGATCCTTCCCCCTTTTCTGTGTTTTGCTTGAGGAATCCGGCCTTCAACAGTTACTTACGGCATAAGATGAGGTCCATTTTCCTTGTGCCTTAAAATTTGGCCCTGTGTGTTTTTCTAAGATTTTTTTTTCAATCACTTCTTTCCCCTGTGTTCTTTGCCCCTTGTCCTTCTCAAGGTACCAGAGCACTTCATGTTTCCAACCTATCTGAAATACCATCCCCTATTCTTGCCCTTCCATGATGCTGCTCTAAGCTCATCTTCTTCCGGGACTCCATGCAGGCAGCTAGTCCTGCATGCAAGAGATGCCACAGAATTGCTGTCATCCTTTTGTCTCTCAGTGCCCGCTCTCTCTAGGTTTCTGTTTGCTTTCAGTGGCATCTTCAGGAGCAGGCACACATCTTTCTCTTCCTATGCCCCGGCAGCATCCTTTAATGAATGAGGTGTCTGCCATGAGAAACCTTCAGGAAGTATTGGTTGAGTCAGAGATGGAGGATGCCTGGCCAGCAGCCATATAAAGCCTGTGAAGTCATATGGTCTGGCCCTGCCAAGCAATCACAGACAGAGCTCAAAATCCAGTAAATCTCTATCAGACCAAATTTTAAACCAATAGTTGTGTATGGTCTGCAAATGACGCTATGAATATCTAAATGACCTTTAGTGGGAATAAGTTTCCCTTTCCCTGTATAAATGAATGAATTGATCTTGGCTCTCTACATCATGGTGCCCACAACAACATGAATGTTTTTGGCAAGCAATCTGATTGTATATTTTGCTTTACATGGCAAAGTGAGGCACTGACAGCAAGAACACTGAGAAAAGAATGATAATACAAATAAAGGCCTGGTGCAATAGCCTAGTGGCTAAATCCTCACCTTGCACACACCAGAATATCATGTGGATGCTGATTCTAATCCAGGCTGTTCTGCTTCCAATTCAGCTCCTTGCCTGTGGCCTGGGAAAGCAGTCTGCCCCAGTGTGGGAGACCTGGAAGAAACTCCAGGCTCCTGGCTTTGGATTGGCTCAGCTTCGGCTATTGGTGCCCTTTGAAGAGTGATTCAGTGGATGCAAGATCTTCCTCTCTGTCTCTCCTCCTCTTCGTATATCTCACTTACCAATAAAAATAAATCTTTAAAAAAAGACATATGAAACATTGCTGAAAAAAAGCAGTTGTCCTGTGAGCAACACGTCAGAGACCTTTATTCAGGGCGCTTCCATGTCAGGCCCTTTCCCAGGTGCTCTCTGTTGTTTTCTGAAACACCAGCAGGTCCTTCCTCTGTTTTCATTTCACATTCAAAACTCTTCCTAACAACAACTCTGTTACTCAGTATACACACACACACACACACACACACACAATGCTTGTCTCTTCTACTGTTGGTTGTATGCACTGAGAGTAGTGATGCACTCTTCTTAAAGGTG